GTGCTTCTGGCTTCTGCCTGAAATTAGATTTAAGAGTGAAACTTGGTTTTGCTGCTTCCATCATAATAGCTACTATAAAAATTAACCATTTAGATATTTGTACCTATTTTATTTTTCTATTTTATTTTGCTCATTCTAGATAGGTTCTTTTTTTAAAATAAAAGTGCATATTGATGATGCTTTTTTTCCCTTTATTTCATTCGACTTTTTTTTTTTCCTTTTCAGGGCAAAGGATATTACTGTCTCTCAGCAAGTCAAGGTTGAACATAAGGAACGCCACTTGAATGTTGTGTTCATTGGTCATGTTGGTAGGTTTTTCTACTTATTGTTTAAATTAAAAGTGGGTGTTTTTCATTTTTATGTCCTTTATTATTCTCTATGAACTGGAATGCTCAAAGGCCAAATAAATGGGAGAAATGTGTTTCACATTGTTGTTTGTTTAGCTTTTTGGTTTGAGTTCAGGGATTGGTTGACTAGATGCCACATAGAAATAATTTAATGGTTTGGCATTTTCTAAGATCCATTGTGGAGTTGACTGTGTTAATTGTTTCCTAGAACATATTGTATGCATGCTTGAATGATTAAAAACTTTCAAAATCTTAAGTTAAAATCTTATGGTAGAAAAAAAAAAATAAATAAAACCTATGGTTTCGTGTTTCTATTTAGTATCTACATACTTTTGAGAAGTTTCAAGCTTTCTTTCTTGGATATTATATGTTATTTTTATGGAAAGGTGTTTTTAGTTTGTTTAAAGTTTCAACTTTTTCAATTTGGCAACTTTGTTTTATTTGGCATTATAAGGGACAATTGTTGATCAAAGTGAGGAATGTTGGCTCTTTTTAATCACAAATGTCGATGGTCCTATCTCCCTAGACTTTTCATCCAAATGGTATGTTTTGGCTCTGTTTTGTAATTGGTTTTTAGATGCTGGGAAGTCAACAATTGGAGGACAGATAGTCAGATACTCTTCCTTTGTGGTCAGGTTGATGACCGTACGATCAAAAAATATGAGAAAGAAGCAAAAGAAAAAAGTAGAGAAAGCTGGTGAGACTTTACATTCATTCTTTATTCTTTACATGGAAAATAGATGCTTTTCCTACGTTACTTATAAACTATTTACCTAAGAGAATGATAATGCAACACAAATCAATTTGAAAATTGGTTTCTTGTCCTATGTTACTTTACATTCTCATTCTTTTTATACTATGTACTATGTAACCATTCAAGGCAACATAGTTTTTATTATGTTTCTTGCTATTAAAAGGTTGTTTGTTTTGATATGCTTGTTTTGCATGCAAAGAGAATCATCCAATAATGAACTTGATTTTAGAAGTTAGCCTAGGATTGTGGTGGTTTATTCTGGTATTGCTAATATATGTTTTGTTATGTGAACTTAAAAGTATAAATTTGATCCCTGATACTATCTATGTTGAAAATAATTGCTAGCATAGAACAATTTTGGGTAAAATCTTTTGTAAAGAATAATTTAGTGTGATATTGAATCAGCCATGACTAGACCCAAACCATTGATCAAATCTTAAGACATTTTTGATATGGTAAGGATCAGATTGTTGGCTGTTGCTAAGAGTTAAGAAGCTACAAAAATGGTTCTATTTCCAGCCTTAAATGGTAGCATTTCTTTTACAAGTTGTTGAGGAGAATGGAGGGTTTTTTCTTTCCTTTTAAAATTTTTAATTGCATTTTGCTTTCGATGGTTAGACAGAGGTTGTGGATGGGATTAAAAGTATGTTTTAAGTTTCATTGGTTGAAAACTTGAAATTGGGATCCTCTTGATTCAAATTCTTTAATTTGTGGATTTTCAGATTAGACCTGCTGTTTGAAGGGATTGCTTTCAAGTTTTGAAGTCATTTTTGAATTTGTCACAAGTTTTGAATGACTAATGGATTTCAAAGTGCCTAAAAAGTTCTGAATATATGCTCTTTATCCTATCAAATGCCAATATAAGTTGCTCTCAAAATTTTTGGTTCTGTTTCCTGTTAAAGTTTGTTTGATTCAGCATCACATCAAGCATTCTTGAGATTGTTAAATGTTTAATGTGCTAGACAATAAGAGTCTCAGCTCTTGCATTGTTTGACCATAATTATCTTCTGTGTTAGGTATATGGCATATATTATGGACACTAATGAAGAGGAGAGAATTAAGGTACCCTAAGATGTGGTAACCATGTTTACATTTTTGGATTGCATATTGTTGCTATTTTTTTTAATAAAAAAATGGTTGCAATTTTTTTTCCTGATACATGCCATTGCTCTTTGTTATTTGCACAATCTCACACAATTGATTGTAGGGTATTACTGTGGAAGTTGGAAGAGCATGGTTTGGGACTGAAAGTACTAGGTTTACCGTTTTGTATGCACCGGTAAGCAATTATTTTGAAGCTAAAACACCATGATTTTGTATTTTTTATATGATTTCCTATTTTCCTTATTTAATTTTTGTTGGATAAGGTTATAAGTTTTAGCTAGTTTATTGCTTTTGTACATCTGTATTTTGTGAATTATGATATGATTCTATGAGGTTGAAAAAGATGAGGGACAGATGGGAGAGATAGTTTCTAATTAATGCTTTAAGAAGATGCACAATCTCAAGCTAATGTAAAAGTAAATTATGTGATGATTTCTAATTCTGTCAAATGAAACTCTCCTTCATGCAAGCAGTGTTGCAAAACACAGTGGGCGGACTAGCGCCCAGTGCCCAGGAGAACCCAGTTGCATCTAGATGCATCTAGATGTTTTGTCTTCTAATTATTTTTTTCAAAAAAAAAAGTCAAAAATGTCATTAAAAAATGGGAGAAAAATCAAAAATTGAAAAAAGTTGATTAAGGGTTACACAGCATGTTTACGAAACTTAATACATGAAACTTAAAGGACTAAACTGCCCAAAATAACATCAAAACACAGCTAATCATTTTAACTCGGCACAACCTTCTTCTGTTCTTCAGCCCTTAGGAACTGGGTCGGGTCTGGTTTGCAGGTCAGATTCGGGCCACCGGCGCATGAGGGTGTGTTCTACCACCTTTCTGACTTAAACTCCTGGAGAGTAGCTCACTGGGGCCCTCTGAGAAAGTTTCCGATGTTGCATCTTGGATTATGGCACAATTTTGTTGAAGACCACTCTTCATCTGGGCAGTCCAAGGGGTGAGGTGGTGTGGTGACCAGTGCCTCCAGGTCAACTAATCCCTACTTTTGCAACACTGCCTGCAAGCCATCCTTACTACATTTGATTAGAATTTTTGAGAATGTGACAGCTTAGCTACTTATGATTCTAATTACTTATCAAGTTTGTGTGTGCGAACAAGTTTGTAATCTAACTGATGGAGTTATGTACAGTACTGGCATAGGGAAGTTGTGAATTTGTTTACAGAATAAGATTCTCAGCTCTTGTATTCTTTGGCCATAATTTGTTGTGTTTTGAATTTATATTTCCAATCAATTTTGCTTCAGTATGTGATTTAACTTTTGAGTGTTGAGTTGTTTGTGCAGGGTCACGAGAGTTATGTCCCAACTATGATCAGTGGAGCTGCTCAAGCAGATATTGGGGTTCTGGTTAGTTAGGCGCCACTTCACTGCATTTGTTTTGCTCAAGTCCCATTTTTTGAATTTTTAATTCTTTCTCCTTCTCTGTCTTGTTCTCTATCTGACTGTCATAATTAGGTTATTTTTGCCCGTAAAGGGGAATTCGAGACTGGATATGAGAGGGGTGGGCAAACCCGTGAACATGTTCAGCTGGCAAAAACTTTGGGTGTATCTAAGCTGTTGGTGGTTGTGAACAAAATGGACGATCCCACTGTTAACTGGTCAAAGGAAAGGTGCTGTTCCTGAATTTAGTTAAGTTTATGCTTATATATGCTGTTTAATTTCTGTGTTTCTATTCTGATGGTTCATTCTTCATGGCATTTTCTCTCAGATATGATGAAATTGAATCTAAGATGGTACCATTTCTGAGGTCTTCTGGCTACAATGTGAAAAAACGTAATTGATATATTGGTTCTCGAATATCTCTTATATATATATATATATATATGTAGGAAAATGGTGATTGATTGAATTAAAATTGTGGGTTATTTGTATTTTTTCAATAAAAGCAAGGCAATTAATTCTGTATATTGATTGTGTTTTTGATCTTATTCTGAACCTGTAGATGTTCAGTTTCTACCAGTATCTGGTCTTCTTGGTTCCAACATGAAAACAAGACTGGACAAGAGCATATGCCCCTGGTGGAATGGCCCCTGCCTCTTTGAAGTTCTTGATGCAGTTGAAATTCCTCCTAGAGATCCAAAAGGTCCTTTAAGTTATGATTTATTACTGTAGGAAATCATACAACTCTAGGAAGAAAGTATAATTGTATAACTATACCCTTTTTCCTTTTGTTGTAGAAAGGCTGCATAGTGACTTGTAAGGACTCTGACTATTTCTTGAGTCCCTATGACTTTGATTCCAAACATAAGATAAGTAAATAACTGCCTAGGATTCTTAGAAAATAAGACCTAAAAAATCTAACTCCTAAAGATCCTAGAATGACCAAAATGTATCCAAATTATATTTTAAAAAGAAAACCTAAATCATGAAACTGAAATTATATTAAGTCTGCCCCTGAACATAAGAAAACTTAAATATAATAAAGTAGAACCCTAAATTGCTAAAATTAAGGTTACACAATATAGATTCTGAATTATCAGGCTGTATCAATCTTTGATTTCACATCTATTAACTATGTGTTTTCTAAATATGCAGGATGCCTATAATTGACAAATTTAAAGACATGGGAACTGTCGTAATGGGAAAGGTTGAATCTGCTACCATGCGTGAGGGTGATTCCTTATTGGTCATGCTAAACAAGGTGCTTAGTCTTTCACCTAATTTCTTTATTTGTTTATTTATTGTTAAACTTCAATTCTAAAGTCCAAGATGCACGGATGGCAGGCTCAAGTGAAAGTTCTTGCCATTTACTGTGATGAAGATAAGGCTACACGTGCTGGACCTGGTGAAAATGTGCGGGTTAAGTTATCTGGAATTGAAGAAGGGGACATATTATCTGGTTTTGTCTTGTGTAGTGTTGGTAACTGCTTTAAAGATTGTAAAAACTGAAGGCTCTCGTGTTTGATCCACTAAAGAGGAAATTAGATTATAGAAAGTGGAGTTAAAAAGTAAATGGTATGATAATTTACAAATTTGTTTGCAGAAATATTTCCATTCTTTTGTAGCTTTTGATAGCAATGCTGGGACATCTTGGCCTCACTATCCCTTTCTAAACTTATTTTCTAATTTTGATTCTGAAGTGTTATTTGTGATTTTGTTTAAGTTTTGCCGAATTATATCGTTTTTTTTCTTTTTTACCCAGCAAAACCAATACCAACAGTAACTGAAATTACGGCAAAGGTCCTTGGAAGAGAGAAAAGAAAAGAAGTGAAGAAAAAAAAAAAATTAAGGAAAGTATGAAAGTGGGAGGGTCACGACTTTCTTGTGGATTCTTTTATAACCTTTTAAATGTTATCATTAATGAAAAAAATCATGAGTGTGACGGCAATGTCATGGAGAGGAAGGTCACTTGTCATTGGACATTGGATGCAATTGGGAAAATGGATATATATTTAACTTTTGTCGTTAACTTGTAATTATAAATTCGTTAAATTAGGAATATTTTACTTAAATTGTAGAATTTAAAGCTAATACCTTTCAATTTTGGGGGGTGTTTGGTTGAGAAACTTTCTTTCTTAAAGTTCTCTAAATTCTCTTCTTCTTTTTTTTTTGAAGTTATTTATTTATTTTTACATATTAATATTATAACAAAATAAGGATAAAAGTAACATTTTTAATATTTATTTTTCTTGATATAATTTTTAACCCATAAATGTTTTTTTCCCACCTATTTCGCTAGGAAAAAGTTTCTCTATATTGTGCCTACTTAATAATATTTTCATTAATTTTTTTATATCAATTTCTTACTAAATATAACAAAATTAATAATTCAACAAAATTTTAACAAAACTTCATTGTGAAACTAGACAACTTCTTATACAAAACTTTCTAATTTTTTGTATAACACTTTTCTAATAACTTTTCTAATAAAAACTTTTTCTAATAAAATAATGCTCTAACAAATCGAACCCTTAAGGTGAAGAGGGCAATAACCTTAAATTTTATAAGTTTAGGGGCTAAGTAAGGTATTATGCCTGTTTGATAGGTAAGTCACCAATCTCTTTTTTTTTTTTTGAGATTTTATACATGGGTAAGAATTTGATTGTGTGCTTTTGATTTGAGCAGTCACTGGGCTTTAAATGACTATGAAGCATGAAGGGCTTGAAGCTGCTTGGAACCAGTTTAAACTCTTGAGATTTTGAAGGCTATTCTTGAGAAGCGACCTCCTCCAGTGTACCATAAACATCTATCCCAATCGCTTAATACGTTGAGGGTTTAGAATCCAAAATGCCAGGACCTTGAGGTTTTTGTATGATATTCTTTAATTTCGATGTGAGTAATTATCAACAGATGGTTAAGAAATCATCTCAGTTTTATAATTTTAATTTTGATGGTACAAAAGAAGGAGATAGTTGAAAATCATTTGAGATTTATTAATTGACACTTCTTTTTTTGTAAAGCATTGTGCTAAATCCGTTCATATGCTCATTTGATTCTTGTCAATCCTTTATAGGGATCTCTCAAGTTCTATTCCTCAAAATTCCATCAAAAAGGAAATATACAAGTTACACTCGGACATATCTAGGAAATACATTTACCACATCATCTCAATCTTTTGTTAGTCCTTTCATTTGATAATGATAAGTTACTGCATTTTTGTTGCAATATTTTCTCTTTTTTCTTTTTAATTAAATTTATAAGTTTATATTAGGTGTACTGTCAGACAAATTAAATTATCTATTGGATAATTTCATTTCAATAGGGGAGTTGTTGACTTTCACTTACTTATAATCTAATTATGATAAAAATATTAGCCCTTGTGTTCTAAAAACAGCTAATTAAGGTTATTGCCACAAAAAATTTTGTTTAGAACATCAATTTAATTGTAATTTTATAAGTTTATAGTTTTTTTCTTTAAACAGTTAGTTATCATATGTGGAAATATTTGTTTATAAACTGATTTTAGTATGTTAAATAATAAATATTAATTATTTTATCAATTATGAACTGTTTTTAATAATCAAATAAAGATAAAAATTTAATAATTTTCATAATCTCAACAAATTTAATGGTGATCATAACTACATCCTCCAAAAAGAGTTCCAAGTTAAATGAGTTACTAACACAAAATGTGGGGCAAAGTAGTGTGGCATAGGATAGTTTAATTTAATTGTTTTTGCTAGAAATTTTATTTTTTTATTAATGAAATCTAAGATATAAATTATTAATCTTTAAAATTTGAAGAAAAAAAATGAACTCAATACCTCTTACACTCAAAACAAAAGTCAATCTACCAAACCATATATTATTTAATGAATGACTAAAATCTCAAATATTTTTACCTATGAATTAGGAAAATTATTCTACTTATTACTACACTTAATATATTTTTTGTTTAAAGATAAAGGGTGAAAATTTTAACAAATGTGTATTCTTAGAATAAAACATAAATTTTAAAATAAAAACCTTAAAGCAAAAAAAAAAAAAAAAAAAGCGATCAATGATAACAAAAATTTGTAAAAAAATATCCTTTTCCATCTAAAAAAAATAAAATGTAAATGTTTAAAAATAGCATAAATTTTGTTAGGTTTGATGTTATGATTTTTCTTTGAATTTAAGAGGGTTTAAATTCAACTTTAATAGCATTAAAAATAAATTTATTCTTGTTTCTTTTAAAATCATAATAAGATGTTAAAAATCACACATGAAATAAACGAATTTTTTTATACTGTTGTCTTACTCTTTTCTGTTTAAGTATTTTGAATTTATTTTATTTTCAATTTTTAGGTGATTAGTTAAGTTTACACACTGCATTATTATTTAAATTTCCTACTTTAAAATTAAAAAAAGAAAAAAAAAAAGACAAAAGAGAATAAAAAAAATGCCTCTGGATCTGTTCCAACTACCAAGTTAATTCCAGTCTAGGCCATTCACCCGTGTGGTCAGTGGTCACGCTTCTAGAAGCAAGTGATGGCATCCTGACGTAAAATTTGAGTTCCAAATTTCACTCTTCTCATTTTCAACAATATTATCACTTATCAGTGAACTCCACCAGACCGAATAATTACACGCTTTATTGAAGTTGGTAAATTACTTATCAAATTTAGGAATTGAATTCTTAATTATTAATATTTATAATATTAATTTACTAATTATTATCCTTATAAAAAAATAATATTATCAGTATAATTGTAACGTTAAAAAAAAAAAAAACAGCTAATTCCAGTCTAGTCTCAGACCCAAAAACCCAACCCAAGTTTAGACCCGGCTCGCTCGGACCAGGACCGGGTCAACGGGTTTACTCCCAGTCTTTTACTTAAGACCATCCGTCCACACTGCCGATAAGCAATCCCAGGTGAAACCCGACCATAAGCACTAAGTCACTAACAGATCGGCACCACTGGACGCAACCGAAACTCAATCAAATCGAGTCGAGAACGTTCGTCTCCGACAGCCACATAACTGGGCCAGCCAGACAGCCTCGGCATCAAACGGGAAAAGCCCCGACGAAGCCCTAAGAGAGGTGACAAAAACCCTCACGCACTAATCTAGTTCATTTTTTTTAATATTGTTTTTCGATTTCTTTCAATTTTGATAGCAATTGGGTATCCATTAAATTTTTTTTTTCAAATAAAAATTCTAATCATGAACTCTCTAAATGTGTTCCATAGCCCTTCCTTTGCTCCAAATAGAAAGCTCAGAGTCAAATTCATAAATTTTAAATGCAATGTTTTGTCATATAATTGAAACTCCAAATGAAAACACTCTAAATCACAGAAAAATTAGTAATGAACTCCACAGATTAGCATACATTGTTCAAATGGCAATAATAGAACTGACATCTTAAATGAAACTGGTGCATTGCAACCGCAATTTTAACATATATATGTGGAGCAATGTTTCTTCCACACACAAAATACACTAGGTGCAAGAAAAGCTTTGTTATGTCTTGCTAAACTACCATTGCAAAACAAATGTGTTGTCAATTCACCATCTTTGCTACCTTAATTGAAGAAGTCACCTAACGTACCTCAAACCAGCCATCTTACCTCTCCTGTGGGTACTTCTCACCACCATCTCCTACAATTCTTCTTGCCTGCACATATATAGTTCTTGAAAACCTGCCTCATTTAAGTTGTTAACTACATTTTGCACACCATTCCCCACTAGATGTAGTTTGTTCCTCTCCTTTAGCAACTTGCTAACTGAATGTTGTGAACTAACTATTCCATTTAGCGTTAGCTCAATAATTTTTGAACTTCCACAGGAATTAATTATCCCTGTAGTTTCACTTGTCTCCCATGAAAATCATGTAACTTAGCAAATTTTCAGACACTAGGAATCATCTGGATATTGTAGATATTAATGCATATCTCCACTAACTCATATAACATCAAATAATTAGGAGATAGTTACCAAGTATACAGATCTGATATTCCAGTGGCATCCATCTGGGTGGTTTATCATTCTCTGGATTGTACCAGCAACATATCTAGTGAGGCATAATTATAGATAGGGCTGTTAACGAGTTGAGTACTTGAGTACTCATGCTCGAGCTCGCCTAAAAAATTTGAACTTGAGTCAAGTTTGAATTTTTGACAAGCTCTAGACAGTTGAGCTCATGCTTAACCTCACGAGTATTTGAGTGAGTTCGAGCTTAGTCATGAGCTCAAGCATGAGCTCGAATACTTGAGCAAGCGAGTATTTTAGCCTGAATTCGAGTTTTTTTTTCTGTAATTCCAAATTGTTTCAATAACCAATCATTCAACTATAAATATGTCTACATTTTTCAAAAATATTAAAATATCAAAAGTTTAAATAAGAACATTATATTAAAGTCTAACAATAAAAAAAAAAAAAATTAAAACTCCATTTGAACATTCTTATTATTTGTTCTAAAAAGTTCAAACTAAAACTTATTCAACAAATTATATGCCACCATCCAAAAGAAAAGAAAATATTTTTTTTTTAAATCTTGCAAGCCAGTAGTTTAAAAATAAAAATACAATAAAGCCAAGCTCAAGCTCAAGTTTATAGTAAGTTATCATATATATATTTAAATTATATATAAAAAAATTATATATTTAAATTGACACAAATAAATATATAATATAATTTTTAATTTCAAACCGAATACTTGCAAGTATTGATCTAAGCTCAATCTCAATCTTGTTTTTCTATCAAGCTCAATATTAAGCTCGAGCTCAACTCATTTACTAAATGAGTCAAGTTTGAGTTCAGCTTGTCTCGAGTAGCTCATGAGTAACTCACGAGCTACCCTACTTGCTAACAACCCTAATCATAGCCACTTGTTCAAATAATGTGACATGTGGTATCATCAAACAACTTTGTAATTTATGGTGTAAACACATTGATGGAAACAAAATCTTATTATTTATTTACTGCTAACTGGCCTGATCTCTATGCCTTGAATACTGAGACCATCATTCCAGTGACCAGCCAACTGCAAAATGCTCATTTCCTATTCATTGTCTTTGCCTCCAGTATCTCTGTCTTCATTCTCTATCTCTATTCAAAAACACAGTTTGTTTACAACCTTCAGTTCCAACAAGTCCAACATTTACCTCTACAAGCTGGTACTCAAATCTATAAGCTTTCTTTGTTGCCTTGAACACAAGGTAAGCCTTATAATGTGTCAGATAAGGGGTTTTTGCCACTCAAAGAGTTTAGGGAGTTGTAAGCTACTGATTTAGGTCGACAGGTTTGTTTCCTCTCTCTTGAATGCCTATATTAGAAGGTTTTAAGTTAAAACATAAAAGACATAACTTATGAGCACTATTCTGTTATTATCTTTTCATTTACTTATACTTCACCTTTCATTAATTTTTCTTATGACGCCATTATACTCACTTATTTTATCATTATATTTATCTATCTACCTATATTTGTTCTCACTTTCTTTCTCCTGCTATATATGTGTTAACAATTTGTTTGTTATTTTTTCTCCTCTTGTCCTCCCACTATATTATAATTTTTTAGTCACTCCTTGCACATTTGTCAACCATTATATATCTTTTTACATTTCAGTTCTCTCTCTCTCTTTATCTATATTATACATGTGCTAAATCAAAACTTAAAAGGCACAACTTTTTGGTATTATTTCATTGGTACCTTTTTACTTATGTACTATTATTCCCATCACTTATTAATTTTTCTTATGACACCATCTCTTAATTTATCCCCTCACCTTTGCTCACTCTAAACTATATTTGCTCTTTCCATTTCTATATTAATAATTTGCTTGTTTTATTATTTCTCTTTATCCTCCCGTAATATTATTCTTATTTGGTTGCCCCTTACGTCTTCATCTATTATTATATATTGTTTTAACCAAATTTTCACTTTTTATCTATCATTAGATATTTTTTGTTTTCTCTGGATTACAATAGCATTAAATATCTTCAAATCACAAATAATGTAGTAATATTTGCAATAAATTTATAAATGTATCCACAAAGTTAGAAGTTTTAACCAATAGAAGATAGAAAGCCTACATCATCTTCCTCCTTTTCCCTCTTTATAGTTCTAAGTTATTCATTATTATTCTATCTCAGTATCCTCTCATCTCTATCATTTTTTCTTAGTTATTCCTTTAAATCATTTATGTATCAAAATATATCTATTATTTTAAACCATTTTTTCCGTGTTGATTCTTTTTTCACTTACCTATGCTTCATCATTCGTTAATTTTTCTTGGGATTTTATCTCTTAGCTTACTCTCTAATATTTTATATTTATCTGTTACTGTACATTCGTTCTCATTCCCTCTCTCGCTCTCTCTCTATTTATATTAATAATTTGTTTGTTATTAATTTTTCTGTTCTTATCTTAATTCCCTTAACATTATTCTTTCCTAATCACTCCTTGCATCTCTATTTATTATCATATATCATTTTTACCCTAATTTCTCTCTCTCTCTCTCTCTCTTATTGAATATATTGAAAGTCTGTAAGGCTTTTATTTTATCATTTCCATAATTTTTTGATGTATAGTTTATACTTTTGATAAAGAGAATGTCAAAACATTTTTAGGTCTCTAGCAAAGGTTTTTTATTTTTATGTTTAGGTTCCTAGTAGGTGTTCTTACTTCCTGCTTGCGCTTAGGTGGTTGATTTAGAACCCATTCTGCACTTTTCAAATTTGTCTTATAAGTTGATATAGTCATTATCAAGTGATAGTTGATATACATCAGTTATACGTACTACAATTTGTAGCTATTCAAAATTTTTGATATTTTAGTAATTATTATTAAGAAATATGTTTATTCAAATTTATTTACATCTTAATCATTACTCCCTTAGTCCAAGAATAATTGAGTAAATAAGAATCAATTTGCAAAGTGCCACTTTGAATATAATATAATTTGTATCTATGCTAAACCCATTATATAATTGAAGTAGGAAGTTAAATTATATATTTTGATAAGTTGTTTTCAATTTTAATAATATATAGATGTAAAAGTCAAATTATTATGTGGTAATTAAAGTAGAATTTAACAAAAATTAGCAAGAAGTTTGATGGATTTGGAATGTTATTAAATATTATTATATGGAGAATTACTCTAATAAGGAATTATATGTATTGTGCTCATCATGAAATTTGAAAGGGTATTAATTTAATTTAATCAGGTTTCAACTTTCTCAATGAAGTTTTTTCAAGAGGTCCGTTTGGTAAATATTTGAGATTTTAGAAAGATTTTAAAAGGCTCTGAGTATTTATTTGGTATTTATTATTGATTTTAATAATTTTTATAATATAGTACATCAGACTTGAACTATTATTATATAATTAAAGTTGTAGGATTAATTTGGAACTGACGTTGTTCAATCAATTGAATTGAAGTATAGAAAGGGAAGTTATTTGGTTCTTTTTAAAAAAAAATTTTTTTTTGCCAAATCAATTTGTAGAATTAAATTGAG